CACAGCACTGTTACTTTCTCCGCTCAGGTGCTATTTCAAGTGGTTTCAGGCTGGAAGAGTCCCCGTTTGTCCCCTACGACTTCATGAACAGCAGCGCTTCACCAGCCAGCCCTCCAGCGTCAGCAGGGGATGGCTGGCCACGTGCCAAATCGCCCAGCGGCTCTAGCAGTGCTAACTGGCCACCAGGTGAGGCGCCCGCAGCTCCCTTGGTGCCTTGGCAGTGCCACCCGGTCCTTGGGACCGGGCTGCCGGCCCCGGGTGGGAAGGCATGCAGGGAGGCGGGAGCAGCCTGGCCTTCAGGGCCTTCCTGCCCTCGGCAGTGAAGCTGGCACTGGTCCCACGGCCTGACACGGACAGCACTGTGCCAGCCGTCATCTGCTGTCCCTGCCGGAAGTGCACCCGAGGCCTATGTCACTCTGCTCAAGCTGCGCTGCCTGCGTGACTTGTTGCAAAGCACCGTAGGGTGTTAATGTTTAAAACCCAAGCCACGGTGTTGATTTCTGCTGTGAAAATTGGCAAGTTGCTTGTAAACATCAGCATGTGTTTTAGAACCAATTTTATTTATTTTATAATATAAAGTATTACAATAACAAAAAATATAAAAATAGCATTATGTTATAACAAGATTGAATCAAAAAACGTGAGGCTTGCAGACCGTGGCAGGAAACGTCTTAGATACTTGGCCGGGGACCCTGAAATGGCGATGAGGCCGGAACTGATCTCAGCCCTTCGTTCCCAGAGTTCCGCCCTGGTGAGCCGTGGAAAGGCTACCCGAACATCGACCCTGAGACTGACCCTTACGTCACCCCTGGCAGTGTCGTCAACAGTCTCTCGGTCAACACTGTGCGGGGAGTGGACCACCTCAGGGACGGGAGCAGCGGTACGTGGGCGGGTGGCCTGGCGCCCAGGGGCGTCCCCACGGAGCGGGGTGGGCGTCCCCACGGAGCGGGGTTGCCAGGGCTTTCAGTGCCAAGAAGTCACCGTCACGGGACGTGTGAGCTGCACGCGGGCTTGAGAGGTGGAATGAGCGGGCAGCCGCCGCAGGGCCGGCAGGGGTCCCCCATCCCTGTGGCCATGTGGCCCCGCAGGGCACGGCCACTGCCCTGCACGTGCCAGGACTGGGGTTGAGAGCGGCCGTTTCTCATGAACGGCCTTCTGTCGTGATTTGTTTCCATGCTCCGGATTTAAAGGACTTTGGTCTGCAGAAGCAGGTTGGCGCTCTGTCTCAGAGTGACGTGGGACCCGCTTCAGGGCCCCTCCGTCCAGGGTTGCTCTTAGTGGGTCCCCAGTAGAGCCGCTTGATTGGTCTCAGCCCGAGTCGTGCAGGCGCCTCGCGGGCATTGGAGGGGTGCGGCAACCGGAAGTGTCTGTTTCTGTGACACCGGCCCCCACCTGTCCCCTCACGCGGTCTGTGACATGGGAAGTGCAGTGTCAGCACCCGGGTGGCCCTGGCAGAGCGGGAGGGCAGCGCCTCCTCGTTCAGGCTGGCCGGACGGCAGACAGGGCCGCTGCGGAGTCCCGGGGCGGGGGGGATGGGTGGGTGCCCGCGGGCCTGCCAGCGGGCGTGTGCCTGGTGCTTCTCGCGGGTGGGGGACCGCAGTTGGGGGCAGTGCGAGGAGGACGGCCGCGCGTTGGGGCCTGGGCCTGGCTGGCAGCGGGGCGGAGCAGGGAGACGGGCACTCGGCCCCGTGGCGCGGGCCAGCCGAGGGCGCACGGGGCTCCCTGTGACGCCGAGCGTGCCTGGCCACCTCCCTGCGACGTGCCGTCAAGGCGCCGTTGCGCGGACGCCACGCCTGCCCCGGGCGCGGCTGACGGGCCGTCCCCCACAGGGCCCTCCTCATCCTTGAACACCACGCTGCCTTCAACTAGTGCCTGGTCCTCCATTCGTGCCTCCAACTACAACGTCGCCCTCAGCAGCACAGCACAAAGCACTTCAGGTGGGCCTCGCCCGGGCCGCCTCGGCCGCTCCCAGACGTCCGGGTGCCGGGCCCCACGCCCCTTCTGGGGGCCGGGCCCTCCGAGCCAGACGGGCCTGGCCGACAGTCCGGCTGTGCGCGGGGCCTGCAGCAGGCGGCCGAACCCCTCGGGCCCCATGCGTGTCAGCAGCAGGGGGCAGGGGCCAGCTGACCCGGCTCAGGAAGGCGCCCATGACGTCTGCCCTGACGCCTTCCCTACCGGGGTCGCCTCTAGGCTTTGCCATGGTGAAGAGCAGGGTTCTAGACCTGCTTGGTGGCCCTTGCGATGCTCCCGAGCGACTGGGTTGTGGTCGCTAAGGCACGGAGCCCAGTCGCTGTCTCGGCAGCTCTGCTTGGGTCTCAGTTGTAGTCTCAGGTCCAACAGCGGCGGGACAGCAGGTGGTCCCAGGGCCTGAGGGGGGGGATACGTTCCTTTGGCACCGCGGTTTGGGTTCGAGGTCTCAGGAGAGTTTCTGTTGGGATCGCGTCCCGTGCGGGGTGGGCGGCGTCGCGTCTGACATTCTTAAAGCACAACCTCTCCTCCTCCTCCCCTTCCAGCAGCCAGAAACAGCGACCCCAAGCTGACGTGGTCGCCCGGCCCAGTCGCGAACACCTCCCTGGCCCACGAGCTGTGGAAGGTCCCTCTGCCACCTAAGAGCATCACTGCCCCGTCCCGCCCACCGCCGGGGCTCACCGGCCAGAAGCCACCCTTGTCTGCGTGGGACCCCGCTCCTCTCCGTGTGGGCGGAGGATGGGGCAGTGCCGACGCCAGGTACACCCCAGGTGAGGCGAAGCGCGGGGCGTCTCCGCTGGGCGCTGACGCGGCCTGGCACGCTGCCGACTTCCGCCGGCTGCGGTCTCGGCTCTCACTCCCCGTTCCTCCCAGTTTCACCTAAGATCGGTCATCCCGAACCCACCTCGTCACCAGAGCAGGAGGTGTGACGTCACAGGGTGGGCAGTGGCGGGAGCCTGTCTGGACCTGGACGGACAGGGCCCGTTGAGGTCTCAGGGCGACCGTAGAACGTGGTGTTGGAACAGGCTGGGGACGGAAACCAGGCCGTCCCAGGAGACTGACGAAGGGTCCCCCCCGAGTCCAGCACTGTCAGTGACCGGCACTGGACTTGCCCCAGCCTCAGCTCCCCGCCCAGCTCCCCCAGATCTGACTCCGCCCCCGCAGCCCCAGATCGGACTCCGCCCCTCATGGTCCCGATGTCGCCCCGTCCTGCCGCCCCACACGGCACCGGGAGTCTCGTCCCCCACCCCGTCAGTGATTGTGGTGTGCGCGGGTGACTGGCCAGCCTGACATAGCGCTTCCTTTGGCGAAAAGCTTTGGTTACGCGCAGAGCCCCGGAGTGCGTTTTAAGTTCCCAACTGCAGTTAACGTGAGGGTCCTGTGCGTGAGTGCTTTCTTCAGGCCAGGGACGTCTTTTGGGTGCCAGCTAAGTGACTGGCAGTACCCAGTGAGGGGACGTGATAAAGGTGACTTAGGTGCCCCAAGCAGGGTGCCGGTGTTGGGTGGGATCAGGAAGCCTCGAGAGCCGGCCAGACAGAGCAGAGGGCTCAGCACACGCCCGGCCTGAGGCCTGGGGAGCTCGCAGGCTCCCTGTGACCCCTCAGGAGGGCGGGGCGGGGACTGTGTCCAGAGCGGCCGGAGCGGGCGTCAGCGGTGCGTCTGCGGCTCCTCAGTGTGTGTGGGCGGGGCTGACTTGTGTCACGTCTTGCGGCCCTGCTCCAGGAGAGCGGGGAGGCCAGCCGGTCCCCACCCTCGCCAGCGCCCTGGCACCCCAGACCTTTCACTCTGTGGGGCATAGGGCATCCGTGCCCTTCGTCACATGACACCTGAGACAGTGACGACGTCTCAGGTGGTTCGATCGCAGAGGGGTGGTGTCCTTTGTGGCTCCCCAGGAAGCCGTGTGAGAGCCAGAGGCTGAGTGAGCCACTGTCCCCGGGCAGAGCGCCTGCCCCGGGAGCTCGCGCTGGTCAGCTGCCATGGGTCCTGGGCCCTGGAGGACAGCGCCCGCGTGGACGTGCAGGCGGTGGCCAGCGCCAGTCCAGCAGCCTGTGCTCTGGCAGGATGAGCCCACGCCAGGCCCACGGGCTCGGCAGGCTGACTCGTCCTTTCTCCTCCTCGTTTAGGTTCCAGCTGGGGTGAGAGCAGCTCAGGGAGAATCACAAATTGGCTCGTTCTGAAAAACCTCACACCTCAGGTGAGAGGGCCCGGTGTCCTGGCCCGAGTGGATGCGCCTGTGGCCCAGGCGAGGTGTCCGGTCTTGCTCAGTTGAGACGAGGGCGGGGTGGGCCGGGCCGACGAGAGCAGCGGGCACTGTCGGGGCCGGGAGGGGACGGCTGCGCGGTGCCCCAGGAAGGCCAGGGTCGGGCCCGGCCTGTAAAGTCAGCTGGGAGCTGACCAGGGACACAGGTGCCGGTCTCAGCCCGGGCCTGCCGCATCGTACCCCGTGTTGCCACAGGGCATGCGGGCAGTGTGGCCCCGTGCCGCGGCCTCCCTTTCCCGGCAACGCACTCGGTCCCCGATCCCCCCTCCAAGGCTGGTAGAGCCACCCCTGGTCCCCAGCGAGCAGAGCCTTGAATGGACCCCGTCCTTAGGGCAGGGGAGACAAAAAGAGCTGCCACGGGGCCGTGCCTTGGGGCCTGGGGCCTGGGGCATCTGGGGGTGTAGAGGCTCTGGCCAGTGGAGGTCGGGGTCCCAGACCCATCACAGCCAGGAACCCCAAGGGAGTGGTGCCGGGAGCCAAGCAGCTTGGGGACAGGGGAGGGCCCCGCC